CAACGCCGATTTCTACAACATGCGTCCAACCGGCTTTATTCTTTATTCTTTATTCTTTATTCAATGATTACCCCGCAGTGCCCGAGGGCGTTACAGCAGGGGGGGTTACAAGGATGAAAAGAACACGTCTTCATTGAAACAGCACACTTGCTCTTCAGACAGCCGATTCCACTGTGCAATTGTTCGTACAAAAAAGGAGTTTGCAAACATGCATGTCCTAGCGCGGTACTCTCTAATTTTAAGACTATGATCATTACGACTAGAAACATAATAGGGTTCTTTTAAGTAAGTCTCGCTATTTATTCCCGTTTTATTTTTAACTATTGAGTATAAAAATTTTAGTCGCAGTTTTTCCCGACGTACGGAAAGTGGTTCCCAGTTTAACATTTTTTTCATTTCTGTACAACTTTCTTTCCTCCCGTATCGTCCAAGAACAAACCTAGCCGCCCTGTTTTGTATTTTCTCCAGCTTATCTATCAACGTTTTTTGGGCTGGATCCCAGACAGCACATGCATACTCTAAAATGGGTCTAACACATGTTAAATAAGCAGTTGTCTTTAAGTTAGGTTGTGAGCATTTTAAGTTACGTTGGATAAAATTCATTGCCCTGCCAGCTTTTAAGACTACTTCCTCTATGTGGGCATTCCATGAACAGTCAGATGACAATATGACACCCAAGTATTTGTAAGTAAGTTCCTTGGTTATAGGGTTATTATTTATAAAATACTGAGATTCAATTTGTTTCCTTTTCTTTGTAAAACAAAGGTTAACACACTTTTTGTGATTTAAATTCATTTTCCACGTAGAGCACCAACTTTGAATACGATCAAGGTCTGCATGCAACTGGGCGACATCATCTGAACTCTTAATCTTTCTATACACTACACAATCATCAGCAAAAAGTCGAATACAAGAGGAAATTCCAACAGAAATATCATTAATATAAATTAAAAACAAAAGTGGACCCAGGACAGAGCCCTGTGGAACTCCTGATGTTACATCAACGTAATCAGATTTCTTGCCATTAAGTACTACACATTGACGACGCTGGAACAAGTAATTTTCTATCCATCTAAGCACAGCCGAGTCTAGATTTAACATTCTTAGTTTGTTGAGAAGAAGTGAGTGTGAGACCTAGTCAAACGCTTTTCTAAAATCCAAGAATATACAATCTATTTGTATATCCTTCTCGATTGTAAGTTTCCCAAATTGTGAAAATTGGTGTATCGACAAGAGACTCTTATCCATCGGGAACACAGAAAGAGACGTTTTTCCACAGCTAACGGTGCCATTCTGGGACGATGTTGTGCTTATGAACACTGTTCGAAATTGCATCAGGCCCAACCAGTTCTACAACGGTTGTTTGCTCAGGAAAGTGACTGAAGCAATCCACTTTGATGACTTTTCTGAAAATAACAGACGTGTGATACAGTATGGAGTGCGCAACTTGCCCTACAAGTTACAACTGAACTTGGTTGAATGTTGTCAGACTGGAGAGTCTGATATCGCAGTCGAAGAACTGGCAAATTTTCTTAAAGTACAGTCTTTATTAGAAATGTCTGTACTAGGTACGAATCCTTTGGACATCATTCGTTTTGAAAATTTTGCCTTAAGCTCCACGAAAATATATGTTTACTGTAGTAATAGTAGTGAATAAAAATTTGTCGTTTTGTATTACTTTTTCTTTCTTTTCTCCGCAACACATTGACTGATAGTCTTTGTGTGAAAATATTGATCACAATCGTGGCGTGCGTAGAGACAAATATCGTCCACTTGGTCGATAATTCTACAACTTAAATATTGAATGAGATTTTTTCCAGTCAAGATAAATGCAGATAAGTTAATTTGAATAATATTTTTGTTACTCGAAACAGTGGATTCTGTTCTCCAGCATACTACGTAAAATTTTCTCGGGTTGTCTAAAGGAAGCAATTTTATACCCATTTGCATTCCAGGGTGTTCGCAGTAACAACTCTCAAAGTTTAAAGATTATTCGACTAAGCAAACGATGCACACGTCGTCGTCTCTCGTTATATGGACTTTCCAACTGGACGTTTTGAGGTCAACTTTGGACAAGGCTGTAGTTAAGGTCGAAGCACTATGAGATGATTGTATGCTTCCCTTGCATGCAAATTCTCCGAGGGGATTAAAACATGAATTTATTCTAAAATTAATGTAACGATCCGTAAGAGGAGAGGCTGGTGAAATGCATATCAACTTCACCTTACTAGCTCGGCACCACATACGTTTTAACCAGTCGTTGTTTAGTAATAGAGTTTTACGCCATTTAATTCGTCTTTGATAATAGTGGTAAGGACCGTTGTACTCGATGGCAAGGGATACTACCTCTCCTTTCAAAGTATTTATCTTGCACATAAAATCGAATCTTAGCGGATGAACGTGCTTTTTCTTCAAATTCCAATCCTGTTTTGGAAATAAATTACTTAAAATATAATGATAGTTTAATGCAGAATCTGAAAATTGACTTGTGATACTACCATTAATAGTTTGTTTCAAAAATCGCCAAAAGCTGAATTTCTTTGTCCTTGGTAAACATCCTTTTTCCAAAATACGGTCGCTTGATCTACAGTGTCGATGAGTCTGTAACTGATATATTTTGCCAAAATATTTTCTTTATTTCGATTACCGATGAGGAAAAATGGAATGTGAATTTCTCTCGAAATGTTTACGTTCTTTTTTGGGTTGTTTTTCCAGAAACGAAGTATTGCTACGTCGAAATCACTTTGTCCGTCACATGTGTGCAATATTCTATTAGTAGACGGATCTCTTATCGCATCTTTACATATTTTGTATTTGAGTGAAGCCATGATTGTACCTTCATTTTTCACCACGATCGAACAGATATTTTGGCCGGGACCTTCGAATAAAGTGGGTAATTTGACGTTAAGTATTTTCTCAATCAATACTGTTTCCTCCATAGAAAAATCTTCCCGCGTCATGAATATTTTAGACGAAAGAGACACCTTGTCCGTGATGGTGAATTCCGGAGCCAAAGCTACACCAGTTTGCGTTTTACAAGCCATTGGATGCATAGGACCGTCGGTGGTGAATTTCTACACCAGAAACTTTGCAAAGATGTGTAAAGACGTAGGAGTCTGTTTTCGGCGGTGACGATAGCAGCATCGGTGGCGACGTTTCTTGCGCTTGGTTATCTGATAACTTATGGGACGGTCTTCGTCCAGTACAACAGTTTATCATGTCTTGTAGTTCGATAGAAAATATGGTGCGCTCCATTGTTTGCACCGGCGAAGGTGGTTATTGGCGTCGGTCGGTTCAATTTACTCTGGACGGATTGGCTGTGAAAGAGACTTTTTTCCATATTGGACGCTGATCACGAAGACTTCGTTTATCCACCTGTGTGTAATGTGGGCGGTGCCGTCAAATACGTTTCGAGTCAATTTTTCACCGCATTTGGTATGCCGTATTACATGAACGATAAGGTAGACATAGTTTTCAAATGTGTAGATTTTGACGTCGGGATGCAGCTACATGCCAATGATACAGACTTCTTTGTAGACATCGACGGAGGTCTAGTGAGACGCACACAAACAAAGAGTATGCACTATTGCGTGAATTCTTTGTTAAAATCAAATGTTTATTAAAATTCTGTATCGATATATTTCTCTATGTCTTTCAATTTGTATCTGTATCTACACACGGGAATGAGACAATTCCATATGATATTAGCAATGTCTACAGGTGCGTCGTACAATTTATTGACGAGATATTTTTCAATTCGATCAATGGCGTCTAAATTACCGACGCCTGCAGCAATTATATCCGCATTGTCAAAGTCTAAAAAAGGGAGTTCGGTGAAATACATTTCATACAGTAATATTCCCAAACTCCAAGTCATGAGTAACTCTGCATTGTACGACGTTCAATGTCCAAAATACATTGCCACTGCTTCTGGAGATGCGTAATGCAAGGTGCTTTTAAAACACGTTACTTTTTTCTTGCTGAGATGAACGTCCGTCCAATCTATAATTGTACAATTCATTTTTTCGTCCATTGCAATGTTCTGAGACTTGATATCGCAGTGGTAAACTTCACATTCTTTTACTACTTTGTAAAGTATGGTGAAAACTTGTCGAAATATGTATCTAATGTCTAAAGATTTTTCTGAATCGCGTAATACTTTAAACAATGACGTGCTATTCGTGTCTACAAAAGCTAAACAGGCATATTTATTATAGTTCCATTTCTTTAGACAAATTGGAATACCTATACGAACGCGTTGTGAAATTAATTTTAGTATATCATATTCCGCATGAACGATGGACTGGCACTTGTTGCTGATTTTTAAAATTATGCTATTTCCTTCTCCTAGCCATACTCTAAACACTTTTGCCGTTCATTCCTTCGCTAAAAGATCGTACTCCACTTCCATTCTTTTTTTTATTCTCAAACAAAAAAATCGTTATAAATAAAACCGTCTTAATATGAGTTTAGTTACCGTTTTAAATGTGCACGAGGATTATGCGTTTCACGTCTCTGCCGAACTTCGTCAGGTGATTTCAGAATTATCACTTATACTACGCGATCGTGTGATTCCGCTAATAAATATTCCCAATAACGTCGAAGAAAAGTATAAAGATTTCATGTTGGCTTTGGATAAAGTTTTGTTAAAAGGGATAGTTCTTGACGACAAAATAAACCCAGAGGACATTAGAGTTCTTGTAGATTTTAGTAATTGGTTATTCACAAATATTGTTAGCACAGTTCATTATAAAGAAGAAGAGAGAACATAATATGTCATTCTTACCTAATGTAATTGGTATTCACCATCAAATACGTATCATATATTCTATGAGCAAAACTGGTGGTGAAGTGAACAAACTCTTAAACAATGCACATTTACAAAACGTGGTTCTAGAACGCAATATAACAGAAAACGTCGTTCAAAAAAATCCTTTACAAGATTTATTCGTCTCAAAAAATATACTTAAGCATATGAACTCTTTCATCAAAAGGAATAAATGTTAACTCCATTTGAATACGCACTATTACACAAAGGTTATGACGTCTCCATCACGAGTAAACTCGGTGAAGGTGGATTTGGCGCCATGTATGCTGGTGTTCGTCTAAGTGACAATACACCCATTGCCTTGAAATACGTGCTTGTGAAGGATGTCTCGAGGTGGCACACTTCGAAAGCATACAACTCTAAGATACCCATAGAAATACACATGTTAATGAGAGTTAAAGAGATGCATGTAACTATAAAATTGTACGATTGGTTCAAGTTGGGCAATGGATACGTTGTAATTATGGAAAGATCTATAAAGACTATATCTTTATATAATTATTTGAAGACTAACACCTTGAGTCAGAATCAAGTAATTCTCCTATTTAAACGTTTAGTACAAATTAATTACGACTGTTGGCTACGCTGTGGACTCGTTCATTGCGACTTGAAGGAAGAAAATAATCTAATTAATAAAGAAGACATGTCTATAAAAATTTTAGATTTCGATTTTGCTATACAATGTTCCAAAAGACATAGACGAATGTATGCCGGCACACCATTATACGCACCACCGGAATGGTTTAGGGAGCAAATCTATAGACCATTTCATCCTCCCCCGCATGGGCGCTGCCATCTTGAAATCACGTGACGCGGCGGCCATTAGGTTGCTTCAACTTGCTGCTCCGCTCTCCCCTCCGCGCCTTGGCGGACGCGTTGTATTCGTGTTTTTTGTCGCGTTTCACCGCGCTTTTTTGCCTTACTTCGGAAACTGTAGTCTGATACGTCTACTCGACGACTAAGACGTCGCAAGGGTTGAAAGGTCCTTATGACAACTAAAGTTTGTTTACTAATAGTGGCGGAACATTCTCAGTAAAAAGCGCGTATATTTATATCGCACATCTATAGGATCGGAAGGCGTCAAGCTATAGTCAGCGCAAGGAGACTATCTGTATTTCCTGAAAGTATCGTTCTTTGTATTCATAATATATACACCAACTCATGTTTACAAACACACCGGAGCGCCCCTAGCGGACGCCACCGGCGCCGCGCATGCGCGGTGGATGGTGGGCAAGAAGTCCGCCGTCGCCCATAAACAAACCATTGAATTGCGTTGTTGTAGGCGTCGGTGGGAGTCCCCGTGCTGTTTTTCGCGTTGGAATTGTTGATTCTACGTCCTCCTAACAATGTCTGACCTCTTGAGTGGCTTCAGCAAAACTATCGAGGCAAAACTTTGCGTGAATAATGCGACGTGCGGCGATTCATTTCACGTGGACGCCGCAGAATGGGCGCTAAAGCCTGACTCCCACGATGAGATTCTGCTCGCTATTTACAGTCGCAACGTCGCTCGGACTGCAAAAGTGTGGACCGTAGCTGAGATGGTGGACATCGATACTGAAAACCGGAAGTAGAATCGGGCATTACAAGTCGGTGAAGGCCACTGGTAACAATAATCAACAACTTCTTGTATCTGTTTACACTTAGCCGACTTACCCCAACCAACCTTCAAAAGTGTTTTGAGGCCTGCACTTAGTTCTTATCGCAAGTACCGGGCCCACGTTCGGTTTACGGGCCGCTGTTGTTTGAACGAACTAACGACAAAAAGCAGCCAAGTTTGAAAGAGCAGACGACAGTTCGAACGCACGCGCAATGGAGTACGGGCAAGAAGCACCGCGTCCCGCGTCAACAAACCATTCGAATGTCACGTTGTCGGCGTCTGTGGGAGTCTGCATACTCTTTTTCGCGTTGGAGTTGTCGATTCTACGTCCTCATCGCAATATCTTACCACTTCAATCGCCTGAGCGAAATTATCAAGGCTCGTTACGCCGCTAAACTTTCCGTAAATAATTTGACGTGCGGCAATTCATTCGCATGAACGCTGCAGAATGGACGCCAAAACCATGATGAGATTCTTGTAGCTATTTTCGGACGCGACGTCGCTCGTGCCGCAAAAGTGTAAAAGGTAGCGGCGATGATCGACGTCGATACTGAAAATCGGAAGCGGGAACAGACCAAGCGTAACAAGTAGGTGATGGCCACCGGTACCAATAATTAACATCTTGTATCTACTGTTTACACCGAGCCTACTTAAGTATTTTGAGGCCTGCAATTATTTCTTATTGCAATCACCGGGTCAAAGTTTGGTCTACGGGCCGCTTTTGTTTGAACGAGCAGACGACAAAAAGCAGACAATTTTGAAAGAGCAGACTAAAGTTCAAACGATCAGGCGGCCGTGTGAATTTGAAGACGCACTGAATCCGTGGGTAGTCCGGACAACTTGGGGGTTTTCTCTCGTTCATGTTGGAACCAGGCAAATACATCTGGTGACCACAAATTGTGGCCCGCACAAGCAATCGTAGTTCGACAGCGTCTGGTTTGCCCTTTTCACTGCTGCTATCCACGTTCTCGGACGAACGGAGGGGGCAGAAACACATGAAAACTGATCTTCAAACCTTTCCAGACTCTCTTGGTAAAGCCCCCATCGCAGCATTTTGACGAGAAGGCAGGTTTTTTTTTTGTCTCGTTTCTTCCAAAGGAACACAGGAATGCATGTCTGGCGCGGCGACTTCTGCCCACCGCCCCAGACCGGAAGTGCGTCCGGCGCGCCACGACCGCGGCGTGACGTAGGAGAGTTGAGTTGGTGTATAGAAAACAGTCTCTTTTGATTATGGGACAAAACGCGCGGAGGAGATAGACAACGAACGTTTAGCTTGCATTTTATCTGAGGATAAAAATAATAGTACATCAACATCAGGCAATTTGTTCGTTGAAAACATCACACCTACATGAGTATGAGGTTCTCAATCTTTTTTGCTACGTAAACATTCAATTGGTCGGTTACTTATGAAGTTTAAGAAATTGTATACCATGCTCGCTCCCATTTCGACAGTCATTTAAGTGATTTATTGATTATATTCAGATAACCAGTGCCACCCACTTTGTTTATTTTACGCAAAGGTTGGGACTTTCCGCGTAAGAAACTGCCACACTCAACTTAACAGTAACGAGTTTTAGAATAGCGTGCACGAAAAAATAACGTCATTTATATTTGCAAATCTCAAACGCGGTTTGGGTTCGGCGCATGCGCTATAATGCTGTTTTACCTTTCGCCAGTATCTAAAATCCGCAATATGTAACTCTGAAAAAAACAAAAAAAAAACATTGGTTGTCTGCATAACAATTACTTGAGTCCAGGATTGTCGATGGCGAATAGAGATTTACTTTTGGTGGCTGGCGACGCCGAAATTTACAAACCGAATATATACAAACAAATAAATGTTTATTCACGCAGGTCCGTGAAGTGGTGCCTAGCGCTAGGATTCAGGCAAACGTTCCGAGGTATTTCTTCTCCTGCGCCCTTTAATTTTATATGGCAAATCTTACGGAAGATAAATGCTAGGTTTAATTTGACGGGCCTGTCACTTATATCATATCTTGAGTAAGCGAATGTTCATATAAAAATAATGTATTTTCTAGGGCCAATATCGCGAAATGCTGCTTATGAATACTTTAGCAGGGTTGATAATTTAAGAAAGTCCCTACTCGGCCTGTCAAACCATGCTCGAGTACTGAATAATAATAATAATAAAGGAGGTCGAGACGATACTACTTGTTTATATCAATTATCTGCCTCATTACACGATACGTTTTTAGTCTGCGAATTGCATTAAAGGTTGGATGCCCAGGAAAACCAAACAGTGTGTAGTAAACTCGCGAGTTCATCTGTTCTGGCCGATTCAGCACATTGCTAATCAAACTGTCGATATGTTTCTTTACGTTCACGTGTTAGTCTCTTCAATAGTTTGTTCTTCTAGAAATTGGTGTCATCGGGTACGGCCGTAGATGATGCTAATCTCTCCTGTATATCAGTCAGGCGTTTCGCAACCGACCATAATCAGATGCATCAAAGGAGTTGGTAAAAAAAAAAGAAGCCCGAAATTTAGGCTAAAATACACCTCGTAGTCTTCAAAGTGGTTCAATACCGCTGTTTCATTGGTTGTGTGCTACAAGGAAAATATTCGTATCACAAAATTAACCAAAACCACGTAAAACAGCAACATAGCCGCGTTCACGTTGAAACCGAAACCAATCAAAGTGAAGCAACCTAATGGCGTCGAGTACGTCAGCGCCCTCTATCTGCCGGTGAGGCAACTACTAAAATGAAAAGGTCTATTACCCAGAAGGTACAATTGTGTGGACTCTGGGTGTTATACTGCTAAAGTTATTGTTAAATCAAAGTCCTTTTAAGTCGACAAAAGACATTAAGCATTTCGAAACTTTAGAGAAGATACCATTGTTTCTTGCAAGGCAGAAGGAATTTTCACACAATGTCGTTCACCTTTTAAAATCTCTCATGAAGAAAAGTGTTGAAGATAGACCCGGTATGGATGTAGTATATCATTTAACAATGCTACTTTGACAGAACAATAAACACGTACAGAAAAATAAGGAAAAATATTTGTCATTTATTAGAGTCAACCACCTCTAACCACCATGCCTTGTACTGGTTTTTTTCCACTTTTACCAACAAAACTCGAGCCATGTCCCCCTCCAAGAGACCACTCTCACCCAACCCCTACTGAGAAGGAGAGTGAAATGTGGGGGGGGTCAGAGGGTCCTTGAGAAACTGTTTGCATGTGTCAACGAGGAGAAAGTCTAAAAGGGATAAATAAGAAGTAAAAAAGACCTCGAAGGAAGGGGAAGTGGAAAGAGAGAATGGTTGGTGGGGGAAAGATGGACGAGTCAATCTTCTTGTCAGGATGCAGTGCATCTAAGGCATACTGTTTGCCTATATAAGGAGTTTGGAGGTCACGACTGAGCATCCGTTCAGTGAGGAGCGACACTACTATATAAGAAGATTTATTTACTGAAATATTCATACACCGCTGTGTATGGGATTTCCAATGAAAGAACGGAAGAAGCGCAGGTTGGTCGACACCGATGCCGTGATGGATGGTCCCGTCGACATAGTGCAGTCACCACCACAACCACCACAAGTACCGTCGATGCAGCCATCGCCAGAGCCTTCTCGTCCTACTTGCAGTTCACGGAAACGGCAAAGGGTAAATAAGCTGAATTATGAAGATCTCGATGAGAAAAAAGTTTACGATTTGATGCGATCGAAAAGAATTGCTACCAGAAGCGCAGTTCAAGTGGGTGGAATTTTACCCATTTATGAAGATTTGCCACCAAATTGGGATGTCTTAACATTCAAACTTGCATTGCCACCTAATCTGATAAAGGTGCTAATACATATGACTGTATTTTATGCAGTTCATGACTTGGAGATGGATATTTGCCTAGCTGATTATCTTCCTTACATGGATTATACAGTAATCAAAGGAATCCAGGAGAGACTTGTAGCCATGGATTTGATACGATTACTCCGAACAAGCATCGATAAATTAGATGTCGAACTGTTCATTCCTCTAACGAAAGACTCCAAAAGAACTAACCTCTACTACCAGCACGCTGGTGATAACGTGCTCTTGAGAAGGTCAAACTCGCTACAGCCTTTTCTACTTCGTCAATTGACACAACAACATAACTCGTGGGTTGTTCAATTTAACATGTTCAACGGATATACATCTCCATTGTACTATCCGTACCCATACACCTTAACTAAACGAATAAAATCAACAATATCTCAAACCGCATTACTGAAGTATTTTTTGTTACCTGCATTAACTTCTCAGGAAGTGAAGAAAAGTATCTATGCCGAGCTCGTCGACACACCACCAAAGAAGCGGGATGTCATGGTTAATCGAGTAGTTCAGACCATTAAGAATGTCAGCAAACTTCCACAATTCGTGTCTGACTACGACTTGTGGGATAGTGTAGCGAAATACGCCGTCCAACAGAAAGGTCAAATGATTAAAAAGAAGGGTATAATTGACAGACTCTGCTCTTACCCAAGCATGATGGAACATCCACAAGCGTACGCGGTTGGTGTGGAAGGGGGGGATTTGAGCGCCGATTGGCATGAGGTGCGAGAATTCCTGTCGGGGTTGTTTTTTTCTTGTATGACGCAAGGAAACCAACAGGAAACCTCTATGCTGGAGTCGTCTTTTTTTCTTTATTTGATTTACTATGTGATCAAGTACGACCACCCAATGGACGTGACTTTCATTATCGAATGCTTGAACGAGAACGTTATTCGTGAATTCTATACGAGTCTGCGTTCTATCCTGGATCCCTACAACTGTAAGCCTCGCCCCAATTCACAACTTTTCATGCTTAGACATAACATCCCGTCTATCAAGGACGTTAATTCTGGTTCGATGACCGATAACATCAAAAACAAGAACGATGGCAAAAAGACAGCCATTGGCTTTTACCACGTCAGTCGCCACACGACACCGATTCCTAAAACCAGCGGTCGTTGTTCCAAAAAGATTTTCGTCTTTCACTTGGCAAATTTTTACAACTGCGGGGAAGATGTTAACTTTGCAGTCAAATATCTGTCTCCTCAGTTGTTCACCAAAGTTTTTGGATCTCTGCTTAGAGTTTTTGAAAAAACTAACGTTGATTTAACCGAATCGCTTATTGAGATGTGGTCGAAGCAATGTTTGAGTGCTGTATTCAATTCGGTAAATGTAATTTCTAACATGGTGCCGTCTGTGGACGCATTTCGAGAAAGAACTAAAAATAACGACGAGATCGCGCAGATAGAAAAACTTGCCGACTCCATCAATCCGTGGAGTAGTGGCGAAACTTTGGCGGTGGCTGCAGCGACCGTTCAAGACGAGGACCACTGGGTAGAGACACTCGAAAACGCAGCATCTTCCTCGCGTCGTAAGTAAATTAAATTAGAGAATTTTATATTTTTATTAATACAATTTTTTTGTTGTTTTCTAATACAGGACCTTCTGAAGAGCATCAAGGTATTTGCCATTTTTCTTTTTCTAATATAGAGTGCTTAGTCTAACATTACTTTTAATTTGCAGAATGCGTGGCTTCAAATCCCCCGCAATTGTTCAACGAACAAGAAACTGAAAGGGGATATGAATGTATTCAACCAAGTGTTGATAATGCAATAGACTATGGCAACCAAGAAAAGATTTCGGTTCCCCAAGTTGGAGAATACGAATACAAAGACAATGAAAAGGAAATTGTAACCCCCAAGGAGGGAGAGCCTATAAGCCAATGCTATCATAATGCCAATGAAAATGTAGAGTCTTCTACTCATGACGAAACCCATGTTATTCAAAATGGCAAAGACGATGAAAAGACTGATGAAAAGTTCGTTGCTGCTGGGGAAGACCACGTGAGCTATGAACATCAGGACACATCGCAAGAGAACAATCATCTAATAAACAGTCCGAGTACTCCACTTCAAGATGAAAATTGGAACAACCCACTCACGTTACAAGATGTTATAATGCGTAAGTTCGCAAACTGTATATTTATAAATATTTATATGTTTAAGGGGTTTAATTGTATTTTTACAGAGTGTGATTTACCAGTTCTCGGCAATGGAGATCAGGAGCATTTCAACTTCGATGACGTGGATTTATGTAAGTTTATATATTATTTATTGCTAGAATGCATTTATAACTTTTATTTGTTTTTTACAGGCACTCCGAGACCAGTCATTCATCCAGAAAACACATCCAAAAGTAAATGGAAGCAAAGATCATTCGACGCAGATTTGGATGATGAAGTTTAAAAAGAACCCAGTCTACTCTATTTTGAATCATAAGTTTTTGGGACTGTAAAGAATTGAAAAAAAATGTCATGGACCGTCTCATAAAATATGCTGATGACTCTTCCACTTCCTCGAGTGATTGCTTTTCACAATCATCATTGTAGAAAGAATTTATTCATGAAGGGGATTCTATTTCAGAAGATTCATCGATACTTCATAAAGATGACTACCGTAATATCCCGAGTCATCGCCCATCCCCGAGCCATCGCCCACCCCATTTTTTGGGCCAATATCGATTTCCGAAAAAACACCGAGTCATCGCCCACCCCTTCAAATACCCCAGCGCGGACTCTGCGATTCGCGAACACTCATCCTACCCGAATGACACGGCCGCGGACCTTACAGTTAGAGGACGTCCGTGACAAAGTAAAACGAGGGAGGGAAAGACACTTCTTTTTGTTTACGCATTTCCTCCGTGAGCGACCCCAAAGGGGTCGTGTATCCGTGCGAAAAGAAAACGATGGAGATAACAAAATAAGAGTTTGTTAACGTAACCGCGGAGTGTTAGGTCAAAGTCTGTCTCCGCCGAAGCAAGGTCACCGCGAACCCGCTCCTTCTTCCCGCCCGTCGCGACCGCGGTTGAGCAATATTTTAGGCAAAGCCAAAGCGTAAATAAAGCTTTGCTGGAACGTCCTACACAGACGTTTGCAGAGCGTCCCAACCATGCATTGATAGCCCGCCGTGCACGGACGCACGTATGTACGCACCAAACAAGTTGCGCAAGAGCTTGCAATGGACCTTTTCCATATACCGACGGCACCAGGCGGTGGCTGCGCGAACTAAAAAATCGAGGAAGTGACCTGCGCTACCAATCAATAATGGGAGCTACGTTACCAGTTGCTTCGCTCTCTGAGCAGCGTCGCGTGCCTGATGCAACGAGGTAGGACTAGCGCGACTTTAAAGAAGGAAATCCGTAGCGTCCACCCAAACGTCGTGTTTTTCTTTCCGTCCACTTTCTTTTTTTGTGTAACACAATTATATATATGCTGCAATTACGTGTTCTACTCGTCGATTTAGAGCCTCATTCCGAATTTCCTCGATTTTTTCGTGCCGACTTCCACCGCTTGGCATCGGGCGCTCGCGCGTGCGCAGAACGCTTCTCGGAAAAGGTCCATTGACAAGGCGCCCGACTTGGCCCGACGCCAAAGTATTTGCCAACGCGACCGCCAGCTTTCCCGCTTTCCCAGCATTGCTCCTGGTCGCTCCTTTGGTCCGCTCGCTCGCTCGCTCGCTCGCTCGTTGCGCCTGGTCGGTTTTTCTATTTTCTTGTAGACTTTTCTTTCTTTTTTTTCTTTTTTTACTAACTGGTGACATTCTTTCACGAAGGGAACGTTCGCGCTATATGCAGATCGGCGGTGTTTCTAGCGCGTATGCAAGCAACGGACTTCGCTATAGTAAAGTATTCTTTCGGGAGCATTTTTTTTCTATAAAACAATGAAACTAAATCGAGTTTTGAGTTTGATGTATCTCTTGTGCATCAGCGCTAGATACGCAGAGAAAAATAGGCGGTTTTTCCGCTTTTTTTCCAAGTGTTTGTGCTCACCCACCGAGACATGGCCCACCCCATTTTTTTAACGAATTTCAGGCGGTAGGGGGGTGGGCGATGACTCGGGATATTACGGGTATATTAAGGATATAGATGCAGAGTCGTGTTACACCACTGAAGAAGAAAGTGAAGATTCTTCGTCACCCCTACTTCGGAGGAAGAAGAA